TGAGAGAGAGGAGAGGAAGAGGGAAGACGGAGAGAGAGAAGAGGTTTTTAAAAAGAGAGAGAGGTTTGAGAGAGGGGGAGAAAAAGAATTAAAATATACCGACAGGAAAAGAAGAAAAAGTGGGGAAAGGGAAATTTTGGGAATTTAAAGGGGAACCCGAATTAAAAAAACAAAATTCCACCTTTTTATAAAAAAAAATTAAAGTAAGAGAGAAAGATTTCCAGTAAAGAGAATAGCATAATGAGAAAGAAACGTGAGACACTGAACAACCCAAATGCCCGTGTGTGTTTACTTTAAGCAACACTGTTAATTAAAGCTGACTTTTAAATCTCAAACAAACCAAATTTAGATGAAGCAAAAAAAAGTAACCAAAGAAAAAAAATAAAAAAACAAATTTTAAAAATGTGGGGTATTGAAAGGGGGGGTGGGGGGTTATGTTTTTTCCCGGAGTACCGACGAGTCCCCTTTAGTTTTTAAGGTTTGGGCTTTTGTTTTATCACTGATAATAAAAATTATATTGTTTCGTTGTTATAGCGTCACTCGAATGAAGAAACGCGGAATTCCTCGGCTTTTCATTTTAAAAGTATCAACAAAAAGTGATAATGAAAAAACTGAGCCGGAAACTATCACCTTGGGGCCAAAAAATGTGCAGGAAAAAGCCAAAACCCCCCCTATCCTGAATATTTTTCTTTTAATTCGCTACAAGAGGTTTAACTGGTGGATAAATGAAATAAAAATGGTGATGGGGATGACTATTTGAACTCTGGTCCTGTCTTAAATAACACAGATGATGTCAAAATTCGTTTTCGAAAAAGTCGTCATACTGCACTTAGGTGTTCTTTCTTAAGTGTAGGTTATTTGCAAAATTTTTCTATTATTATTATCAGCAGCATAATAACAATAATAATATAGACAAGCGAAAATGTAAATATGCTTTCTTATTATGACAAGGAATAAATGGTTGGGCTCTTTGGATTATTTTAAGGTTCAGAACTGTCCCATGACGCAAGGCAACTCAGATCACAACACTGCATTATTCTCTTCACTCTTATGCTTGACACAAGGGGTCACCAACCCGTGGCCCTAGGGCCTCCTGTGACCCCTAATGCCGCCTGTGACCTAATGCCGCCTGTAACCCCTAGGGCGACCTGTAACCTAAGGCCGCCTATGACCCTAGGGCCGCCTGTAACCCCTAGGGCCGCCCGTAACCCCTAGGGCCGCCTGTAACCTAAGGCCGCCTATGACCCTAGGGCCACCTGTAACCCCTAGGGCCGCCCGTAACCCCTAGGGCCGCCTGTAACCCCTAGGGCCGCCCGTAACCCCTAGGGCCGCCTGTAACCCCTAGGGTCGCCTGTAACCCCTAGGGTCGCCTGTAACCCCTAAGGCCGCCTGTAAGCCCTAGGGCCGCCTGTAACCTCTAGGGCCGCCTGTAACCCCTAGGGCCGCCTGAAACCTAAGGCCGCCTATGGCCCTAGGGCCGCCTGTGACCTAAGGCCGCCTGTGACCCTAGGGCCGCCTGAAACCTAAGGCCGCCTATGGCCCTAGGGCCGCCTGTGACCTAAGGCCGCCTGTAACCCCTAGGGCCGCCTGAAACCTAAGGCCGCCTATGGCCCTAGGGCCGCCTGTGACCTAAGGCCGCCTGTAACCCCTAGGGCCGCCTGAAACCTAAGGCCGCCTATGGCCCTAGGGCCGCCTGTGACCTAAGGCCGCCTGTGACCCTAGGGATGCCTGTGACACCTAAGGCCGCATGCGGCAGTCACTTTCGAATTAGGGTTGACATACATTGATGATGATACATGTTACAAAATACAGCTGACCCCCACAAAAAGCTTGATTGTAGTGCTTTTTCATCATACTGCGATCTCAAGGGTAACCAAATATCTTTTAGAAGTGCAATATATATAATATATATATTATATATATATAATATATATATATATATATATATATAAAATATGTGTGTGTGTGTGTGTGTGTGTGTGTGTGTGTGTGTGTGTCGTGCCGAATATGTAAAACTGGTCAATTAGCAAGAACTCATTTAAAATTAAGTCCTTTCTAAAATTTTCTCTTATGCGTTTAAAGATATATTTTTTTCATTAGGTTAATGTAAAAAATTTTAATTTTGCTCCAAAAGAATCTTAGAAAACTTACCTAACCTTATTATAACAAGAACAATTTATTTTAGCCTAACCCAACTAAATATATTTCAGATTTGTTTACAATAATTTAATACTAAACAAACACAGTGAAATATATTTTTTTCGTTAGGTTCAGAATGATTTTGGCGAAATTATTGCATACACAAATTTTCACTTGTCCTATATGGCAAGATGAACGTTGCTATTTAAGCCAAGATGGCAAAGTTCTGCCTATTCGGCACGACACAAAACACACACACACACACACAGGTAAACTCCAGGTAAACACACACACACACACACACACACACACACATATATATAATATAATATATATATTATATATATATATATTATATATATATATATATATATATATATATATATATATATATATATATATATTCAACAAGTTCGGTCGTCTCCCACCGAGGCAGGGTGACCCAAAAAAGAAAGAAAATCCCCAAAAAGAAAATACTTTCATCATTCAACATTTTCACCACACTCGCACATTATCACTTTTTTTGCAGAGGTGCTCAGAATACAACAGTTTAGAAGTATATAGTATAAAGATACACAACATATACCTCCAAACTGCCAATATCCCAAACCCCTCCTTAAAGTGCAGGCATTGTACTTCCCATTTCCAGGACTCAAGTCCAACTATATGAAAATAACCGGTTTCCCTGAATCCCTTCACTAAATATTACCCTGCTTACACTCCAACAGATCGTCAGGTCCCAAGTATCATTCGTCTCCATTCACTCCTATCTAACACGCTCACGCACGCTTGCTGGAAGTCCAAGCCCCTTGCCCACAAAACCTCCTTTACCCCCTCTCTCCAACCCTTTCGAGGACGACCCCTACCCCCGCCCTTCCTTCCCCTATAGATTTATATGCTTTCCATGTCATTCTACTTTGATCCATTCTCTCTAAATGACCAAACCACCTCAACAACCCCTCTTCTGCCTTCTGACTAATACTTTTATTAACTCCACACCTTTTCCTAATTTCCACACTCCGAATTTTCTGCATAATATTTACACACACATTGCCCTTAAACAGGACATCTCCACTGCCTCCAACCGTCTCCTCGCTGCTGCATTTACCACCCAAGCTTCACATCCACATAAGAGTGTTGGTACTACTATACTTTCATACATTCCCTTCTTTGCCTCCATAGATAACGTTTTTTGACTCCACATATACCTCAACGCACCACTCACCTTTTTTCCCTCATCAATTCTATGATTAACCTCATCCTTCATAAATCCATCCGCCGACACGTCAACTCCCAAGTATCTGAAAACATTCACTTCTTCCATACTCCTCCTCCCCAATTTGATATCCAATTTTTCTTTATCTAAATCATTTGACACCTCATCACCTTACTCTTTTCTATGTTCACTTTCAACTTTCTACCTTTACACACATTCCCAAACTCATCCACTAACCTTTGCAATTTTTCTTTAGAATCTCCCATAAGCACAGTATCATCAGCAAAAAGTAACTGTGTCAATTCCCATTTTGTATTTAATTCCCCATAATTTAATCCCACCCCTCTCCCGAACACCCTAGCATTTACTTCTTTTACAACCCCATCTATAAATATATTAAACAACCATGGTGACATTACACATCCCTGTTTAAGACCTACTTTTACCGGGAAGTACTCTCCCTCTCTTCTACACACCCTAACCTGAGCCTCACTATCCTCATAAAAACTCTTTACAGCATTTAATAACTTACCACCTATTCCATATACTTGCAACATCTGCCACATTGATCCTCTATCCACTCTATCATATGCCTTTTCTAAATCCATAAATGCAATAAAAACTTCCCTACCTTTATCTAAATAGTGTTCACATATATGCTTCATTGTAAACACTTGATCTACACATCCCCTACCCACTCTGAAGCCTCCTTGCTCATCCGCAATTCTACATTCTGTCTTACCTCTAATTCTTTCAATTATAACCCTACCGTACACTTTTCCTGGTATACTCAGTAAACTTATTCCTCTATAATTTTTACAATCTCTTTTGTCCCCTTTCCCTTTATATAAAGGGACTATACATGCTCTCTCCCAATCCCTAGGTACCTTCCCCTCTTTCATACATTTATTAAACAAAAGTACCAACCACTCCAACATATATATATATATATAAAATATATATATATATAATATATATAATATATATATATATATATATATATATATATATATATATATAATATATATATAATATATATATTTATATATATTATGAAAATTTAGCCCGTAAAACTGGCGAATTTAGTGGACTGTATAATTATAAAGAATTTATTCGGACTTGAAAGCTTTAAATATTTTATTTCATGTATTTTTTCAATTATTAAACATTATTTCAACTGACTGAAGAACATATATTATTACCAGGTTATTGCCCTGATGTAACCTGATGCCTTCAACAAGAAAAAGCAACTAGAAAATTAGCCACCATCTAGATACCTTACCTGTTGTGTGATTTATAATACACACTAGGAGGCGCACATTAATTATTACTGGACGATGTATGTGGTAGATAATATGGCGTCTCAGCTACCATGTCCTGTTTTTCATCCATAATATTCTTATGCTGCTGTTTTATTATATATCTAGACCCAGATGTATTTCCTTCTCACTTATCGTGTAGTGAAAAAGCCGCCGATAATATTTCTGTCGGCCACTATTAAATTCGATATTCACAAATTCACTGATCCGTCCTCCCCGTAACGCCATATTTGTTTCTTCTTTTAACTCTTATTTTGTACACAGATTTTTATTCAAATTTAGTGATATTTCTAGGTGTGTAATATATTTTTTACAGAATATTATTTTTTAATATTACAATAATTCCACTTAATTAACTTACTGCCTTTCAAAAGTCACATCAACGTTACACAACATTATTATCTCTATCAATTATTATCTATAAACAATAGGAAAATTATCAAAATTTTCCACAATATTATTGTGGCTAATTTCCACTTTGTGTACACACACACACAAAAAAAATTGCTGTTAGAAGAAATTGACAAAACTGAACCTGACGACGTCGGCGGAAAAATGGATATGATAATGACAAATAATTACATGAGAAATTAATAGGATAAATATATATATAGACAAATGGAAAAACTGAACACAGGTTAAAACTTGAGACACAGAAATCATTGAAATTGTGGAAAATACTGTATATATTTTCCAGAAATTCAGTATTTATATGTAAATAGATGGCCTATACTGTATTTAATAATATTTGTCATAGAAAACGGAAAGCCTGCGTCTGGGCAGGAGACTCGCCATCTTGGTTTTGAATTTTGTACAAACGGTGGTGTAATGGGAAGAATTTTTCGTGCTCTAGAGGTTAAAATTGTGTTGACACCTCTCAAATAGGAGGCGAAATTGGTGGATGTGCATTCCTGCATAACGTGAGATATCAGACGACTGGACAAGACAGCTCCAGGAACCTCAGATAAGCTCTCTAGAGTTGTGTGTAATTCTGGCCAGCATTATTTTCATAGATTTAGTTAGAGTGAGGTTTTCTGAGTATGATACACATTAATCTCCAGTCAAATTGGTGAGTGATATTAAGATATATTTTCCTTCTGTTATGTAATTGTGTATATATATATAACCATTTATTTTTAATATACAGTCCACAAATTTATATATTTACCAGTATTCCTGGTGTATGTATATTTCATTTAATTAATAGGTCCAGAGCAACATGTAGTTATGACAGTGGTAGGTATCGAAGGGGGACATTTTTTGCGACCTAGGTGTCCCAAATTCCTACTTGTCTATGTAACTGATATATAATAATTATCTTTATCATTTACTGTTATGTACATAATTAGTTACATTCAGATAAATGCAATTTTCCACAGAAATGTTAGGATGTATTTGTTTATTCTTAGGATGGATGAAAAGTGGAATGACTAATAAAGAAGCAAACTTAATACAATCTTAAAAAATAGGATTAACTGATTGACTATGGATTTATGATAAGGCCCAAGAAGCCAGTAATTGGTAATAGGAATCACAGCAGTCATGGAGGCGGGACCAGATGCAGATTCGAAATTCCCTCTCAAATAAAATTCGAAGAGCACATATTTTTATTCAGTTACGGGTGCTTGAGTTTGAGTATTATTCGTCTGCAATGACTCCATATCAAAGGTCCAGACAGTAGCAAATCCCATGCAGCGGTACATCAAGCAGGAGTCGACCAGGTCGTAGTGCTTGCTCCTCCAACAGGAGCCCTTCTGCAGCAGTCGGCAGTCTGAGAGGCGCCAGTAGAGCCTCACCAGCAGCTGTGACCGCACAGTGTCGTGTATGTAGCCACGGATAATAGGGTACGGGTGATCCAACAAGTACGATCTCGGGTACTGGATTAGCAGCGTCTGTAACAGCGAGGCGATCATGGCTTTATGTTCTCCCAGAATTGTGCTGGTGATGTGTTGATGAGTACTGATAATGTTTGTGGGAGGTTATATGTTGATGTAGAGTTGATAGTGATTGTTATGATGATGATAATATTAATGGTTTGATGTGGTTTTAGTGACTGGTGATGATGATGTTTATAGTAGCAATAATATTAATGATGTTGATAAGAGAAGGTTGTGACAGACATTAAACCTGTGAGTGTCTTACAGTGTTGTCTCCGGGTTACCACTGAAAGACTCACATTAAGTCACTTATGTGTATAGCTTTTAGATTAGGCACCGCAATTCAAACAACTTGTACATATATTTAATTACTATACTTAACCCCTTGTGTAATACCTTGTATTTAGCAGATGTTTAAATAAACATTTACCCGTTGTGAAGTTTAATTCTAGACTAAGAGACACTTATTTTCAAACTCCTTACCAGTAACTTGGGTACTCGTAAATTATTTTGGTACTCTTTTATGTCAGTTTACTGTATTTATCTGTTCTTCTATTATTTATTACTAGTATAATTTATTCAAGGTGGCTTACAGGTTGGTTGCACAAGACCTATCAACCAGTGGACACTATCTTGCACCTCAGTGTCTCCTGCTTGTTAGGTTGACTTTATTAATGTTTCTTGGATTACGGTAGGCCTAGTTAACTGTAGGCTATAATTTTGTTGCTAAACTAAATACAAAATACGACCTAGTTGTGATATAAGTGTATTATTAAGCATTTATAGTTCTTTATTTCGAATTATCCATCATTTATTATTGATCCTTATTTTCAAATTAAACAATAATAAGTCCTTATCTACATTCCAGCTGCCTCATTTATCTAATTAATTAAGGGGTGTCAGAAATTATCTCAAACCGACTGATCTTTCAAAAAATTACTAGTGCCCAGATCTAGGACATAATATAGAGCAGTAGTTTAAAGGAAGGGGGGGGGGGGTTACGAGGCTAGTCCTTTAGAGCAGCAGTTCGAAAGTTCGAAAAATTGTGTGGAGAGATTGGAGGGTAATGAAGGGACCTTTGATTCCAAATAAAGTGATCAGCCTAGTCAGACAGATTTAAGCTGGTACCTTCGAGTCTGGATCAGAAGTATCTTCAAATTAGCTGAACTCTGAACCGACTCAAAAGACCTAGAATTATTCATATCAATGTTACTCTAAAGTTCTGTGGAGAGCCTTCCTAATGGCTACCTAAACCATTTACATCATATACGTACATATATAGCAACAACTCCATGGAAGACATTATTATTATTATAATCAAGGGGGAAGCGCTAAACCCGGAGGATTATACAGCGCCTGGGGGGGGGATGTGGAAGGCATTCAGGCTTAATTTGGGGAACTGGAGCACAGATCCAATTCCCTAAATCAAGAGCCCCTCACCAACATCAAGGAACCTTCCTTGAGGGGCATGGAAGACACAGCAGACTCACTTTGACGGTGAATGTCTTAGAGTTGAAGATGACGTCTCTGATTTTCAGTTGATCAGCTTCTGTCCCTGTGGCGATGGTGAGGAGGTCGATCTGGGTCATATTAGCAGCTAACAGCAGTCTGGAGAGTGGGACACACGTCACGTACGTCAACTTGCCCTGCTGCATGTCCTGCACAATAGAAACAAGTCACATATTTTCAGTACTTTGAATATATTGTCTCCCAATCTTTATTTAGTCTATTGAATATACGAGGTCGGTTCATTACAGCAAAACAAAAGCATATACGTATGATCACTGCTACACTATTGAATCTTGTTTGTTCATGTCTTAACAATACAAAAAATAGCTTGTCTTCTTTTCTGTAGCTTCATATGTTAGATATTATTTACCTCCATTCTGAAATTGAGCTTTACTATGACTGGCCTTGACATAATGAGCTAGCTTATTCCAGCTCATTATCGTTAAGAATAAGACCGTTGTAGTATAATAAGTGTTGGAGGCCAGGTGTAGTCTGGCTACTACAAAACTTAGTTTACTTTCTCTAGTAAAACGTATTAGTTTCTAATCTGCTCACCTAGTAGTTAATAGGGGCTTGTATGTGGGAAAAGACACTGATGAACTTGTGGGGTCACATCATTGGGAAGAGGCCCCAGGGTACTCCAAATGAAATAAGCAGCACTAATTGGCTTTCTTGGGTTATTCTGGATTACCAAAACTCCGGGTGAACAATTCGTATAAAGTTCAGCTAGACTGCTCTACAAGGTACTCTACGGCCATATATAAACTATATGTTCAGTGTAAAGAGTGAATAAACGTGACCTTTGGTATTACTGATACTTCTAACTTCACTTATAAATATTATGATGTTAAAGACGTGAAAAGTGGTAGATATAAGAGCATAGGAATGAAGGAACATTGAAGAAAGCATATTGGCCCAGGCTATGCAGGTCCAACTCGCACTTAACCACACCCACCTTACTCAAGGTTCTTGCCTCAATGACGCTCCTGGGAGGTTTTTCCTACTCATCTAATTCGACTGACAAACCAGTACTTCCTTATATTCTTTCTAAATCTGAATTTGTCAAACTTAGACTCATTACTGGGAGTCCTGTCTTGTGTGGATACTAGTAGCAATGAAACTTTTATTGTGGTATACTGGCTTAAAAACGTATATTTTAATAAAACGGTTTGCTCTTTCTAGACTGCAATTAAGTATTCTTAAACAGGGACTAAGAGACTTACCATTAATGTTGTTTCGTGAGATAATTTACTTCTGGCCATGACGAGACCCTGTAGCTCCTGGGGAAGGTCTTCTATGAGATCCCTCATCCATAGTGTATACTGAAACACAACCACAGAAAACTGTCAGGTCCTGCTTCACAAAAAATGAAAATATACAAGGGGTAACAAAAGAAACGTTTACATTCAATTCACTGACCCTCCAGTATCGTTAAGTACATGCTATGGGCACATAAAAATTACTTTGTCTTTAGGATACCCGTAAGTGTATCATCGTGGCTTAACTGGCACCTCACACAATGTGAGAGATCGACCCCCTTTCCCCGGACGAGTAGATACAGGCATTATTTATTCTTAGTACTTCTATTCACCTAGCAGTAAGTGGAGACCTGGGTGTTAGTCAAATGGCGTGGATCGCATCCTGGGAGAGAGAGGTTTAAAGGACCCTAACGAAAATAAGTCAGTCTAATGACGTGTCACAGAGACACTTCACGCATTTTTATTGGAATGGAACAGACTACCCACAAATGTCAAGGCCAGTCATAGCTTGAACCAGTTCAAGAAGACTGCCAAAAAGTGTCTGATGAATGAAGCAACAGAAAGGGAGGGGAATGATTTTCTGTTTTTTAGCTAAAATACGTGTAAATTTTACCTTATTCCTAGTAATGACCCTCGTATTGTAGATAGTCGTAATGACCCTCGGGTAGTAGATAGTCTTAATGACCCTCGTATTGTAGATAGTCTTTTTAGTATGATAATAAGATGTTATCTTCATTATAGAATAATAAGAAAATATTATAACCTTTATATTATAATAATAAGGTAAAAGGACCCCAATGGAAATAAGTCACTCTGTCTGACTTTTTTGGGTTATCCTAGGTTCTCTACACATATGCTGCTATGTATGATAATTCTATGTAACTGTATTGTGTATACCTGAATAAATTTACTTACTTACTTACTTACTAAACTGCATCAGTTACACTGCCACTTGAACCCGCTTGAGTAATTCATCTCATTGAGTGGTGGAGGCTTGTTCCTCCGGCCACTAAGCTTGAGACTAGTTCCGTGGTTTTTATAAAATCATTAAGATGACACAACACCCTCAAAGTATTAAATATACGATATTATAGCTACTGGGCTATAATCTGTGTCATTGCTCTACTGCATCCTTCCCCTAAAGGAAGGTTTATTGATACTGATGAGAAGTTATTGAGCCAAGGAATTGGACTTTTCATCTCCTTCCTTGGATCGATCCTAATTACCTATTCCCTCAATTACCTATTCCCCTTATGTAATAATGATAATCTGCATCCTTTGCGGTGTTATGTCCGCAGATTTTGCATGAAAATTAAATTTGTTTGTATAAACAAGGTACTGACATACCGCACTGGGNAGGTAGTGTTGGGGTAGACGCAGGTGGGGGAGGTCCAAGCATTGCCGCGCAGTCTGTTAGAATGCTGGTAGAACGACGATCTGCCCGATCAGGAACCCTGTCCAGCTCAAGATTACTTCTCACATGTAACAGAGATTCTGGACTCATGAATTCAACCATCCACTGCCGACCTCCACGAACACCCCTGGACCCTTAGTTAATAAAATTAAAATTTCACATATGTTAACACCACACAGAAATTCTACGAGCCAAACATTATTCTGTAATTTAATGGTTCTGTACTGTACCTGCCATCTCCACTAACACCCCAGGACCTGTAGTTAAGTTATCTCGATATTGTCCTTCACCCTGACCACCACCAACACCCAGGAATTGTGAGTTATTCGTACTACCACCACCACACAACACCCAGGAACCTGTAAGTTATCTCGGTCTTGTACTTCACCCTGACCACCACCAACACCCCACGAGCATAGTTTGAAAAAAGAGGACGACATTTTATAAAAATAAAGTATTAAAAACTATGAATCAGGCAATTAAAATTCTCCAAGGAGTGAGCAACTTGGACATCTGTAATGTTCTGCCTAATTACGAATTGGCAATGATGACGTCGTCACAATGTTGTGATTATTTGTGTCAGTTTGAATTTTTCACATGTAAATACTAATTTTTGTATATTACACAATGGTAACACTTGTAACCAGGCGAGCCGTCCCCTCCACACCACACTGAACATTATATTATTCACCGAGTGTTGTATCTCTGAATGTATATCTATACTGAGAGCTTACTTTAATCCATATTTTAAGAATTAATTGTTCTTGATTAGTGGCGAACAGGTTACATGAAGTCTTCATGACCTCCGTGTAGTTGATTGCTTTTAAATCTAATTAACTAACCAACACGTCCACAGATGGTACAGGACAACAAAATACAAGGAGGCAGAGAGGTTCATACTCAAAGGCAACAGAAACAATGGGAAGACCAGAACGAGCCCTTGGTTCACCCACATGTGTAAAGCCAAAACTAAGGACGTTTGAAAATGAAAAAAAAAAGTATAGAAGACAAAGAACCCAGGAAAATAAGGACATTAGTCGAAGAGCAAGAAACGAATATGCACAGTAAAGCAGGGAGACCCAGCGGCAATACGAGAATGACAGCATCGAAAACCAGATCTGACCCAAAGCTGTTGTACAGCCATATCAGGAGGAAAACAACAATCAAAGACTAGGTAATCAGGCTGAGGAAGGAAGGAGAGATCAAAAGACACGACCAACGAGTATGTGCAGAGTTCAACACGAGATTTAAGGAATTAATTTCAGTTTTGACAGAGAGGACTCCAGAAAGCCAGAATGGTGGGGAACACAAGTGCTGGACACAATACACACAACCGAGGAGGTGAAGAGGCTGCTAAGTGAACTGGATACCTCAAAAGCGGTGGGACCGGATAACATCTCTCCATGGGTCCTGAGAGAGGGAGCAGAGCCACTGTGTGTATCACTAACAACAATCTTCAATACATTTATCGAAACAGGGCAACTACCTGAGGTGTGGAAGACAGAAAATGTAGTCCCAATTTTTAAGAAAGGAGACAGACAACATTAAACTACAAACCAGTGTCACTGACATATAGTATGCAAAAATCATGGAGAAGATTATCGGAAAACGAATAGTGGAGCACCAATACACGATGACAAATCCTATGTCACAAACTTACCGGAGTTTTACGATAAGATGACAGAAGTAAAACGAGAGGGAGGGGATGGGGGGTATATTGCATTTTCCTGGACTGTAAGAAGGCTTTCGACAGTTCCACATAAGAGAGTAGTGCAAAAGCTAGAGAAGCAGGCAGGTATAATAGGAAAGGCACTGCAATGGATCAGAGAATACCTGACAGGAAGGAAACAACGAGTGCTGGTACGTGACGTGTCAGAGTGGGCGCCTGTGACGAGCGGGGTTTCACAGGGATCAGCCCTAGGGCCGATGCTGTTTCTGGTATATGTGAATGATTTAGAGGTGTTCCTGTTTGCAGACGATGTCAAGTTAATCCGAAGAATTCATACGGATGAAGTTCAGGTAGGACTACAAAGGGATCTTGAGAGGCTGCAAGCTTGGTCAAGCAACTGGCTCCTGGAGTTCAATCCCACGAAGTGTTAAGTCATGAAGACTGGGCAAGGCCAAAGACTGCAAACCTCACTCAAGGAAAAGGATCTTGGGGTGGGTATAATACCAAGCGCATCTCCTGAGGCGCACATCAACCAAATAACTGCTGCAGCATACGGGCGCCTAGCAAACCTAAGAATAGCGTTTCGACACATTAGTAAGGAATCGTTCATGACTCTGTACACCGTGTACGTCAGAAGTGTATTGAAATAATCAGCACCAGTATGGAACCCACATGGTCAAGCACGTCAAGAAATTAGTGAAAGTGCAAAGGTTTGCAACAAGACTCGTCACGGAGCTAAGGAGTATGTCCTACGAGGAGGGGATAAGGGAAATCGACCTGACGACACTGGAGGACAGGAGGGATGGGGGAAGACATAATAACCACATATAAAATACTGAGAGGAACTGAAAATGTGGATAGGGACTGGATGTTTGAGATGGCAAGGGGTCACAACTGGAAACTGAAGACTCAGATGAGTCACAGGGATTTTAGGAAGTATTTCTTCAGTCATAGAGTTGTTAGGAAGGGGAACAATCTGGTTAGTAATGTAGTGGAGGCAGGATCCATACATAGCTTTAAGAAGAGGTACGATAAAGCTCACGGAACAGGGAGAGAGTGGTCCTAGTAGCGACCAGCGAAGAGGTGGGGCCAGGAGCTGTGAATCTGCCCCACAACCACAAATAGGTAAGTACAGGAGCTGAGAATCAACCCCTGCAACATGTAGATATGAGTACAGGATAAATATCCCGAGGTGTATTTCAGCGCATATAAGATAAGATTTCGTTCGGATTTTTAACCCCGGAGGGTTAGCCACCCAGGATAACCCAAGAAAGTCAGTGCGTCATCGAGGACTGTCTAACCTATTTCCATTGGGGTCCTTAATCTTGTCCCCCAGGATGCGACCCACACCAGTCGACTAACACCCAGGTACCTATTTACTGTTAGGTGAACAGGACAACAGGTGTAAGGAAACGTGTCGAAATGTTTCCACCCGCCGGGAATCGAACCCGGGCCCCTCCGTGTGTGAAGCGGGAGCTTTAGCCACCAGGCCACCGGGCGTATGCTAAGTTTACTTAAACGCTATTTTATAGATTAAAGTAGTCTTATCTGGTGGTTGAAAGGTTATTTGAAGCCTTAATGATCCTAGTGTAGTCGACAGGCTTTAAACCTCATTAACCAACCAACCACAGATGATGTGCTGAAAAGATGGAGATCCCCTTCAGTGCGTCGCCGACCTCGGCAGTGGTTGAAAGGTTATTTTAGTTCTCGTGGTTTTCACTTTTTTGAGGGTTTGCAATGACGCTTTTATTGATAGAATTGTTATTCGAAAATCACCATAATTATAAGTAGTTTTTGTTTTTATGATTTTAAATAATTGGTCTTCATGAAGAATCGGTTAGGATGTGTCTTAGCGATTACTGTCAATCGGAATTTTTAAAATTTATGAAATTAGTGGATTGGGTCCAAAATGACCTATACGTAAAATTATTATTTATATTTTTTAAACCGGTTTACATGAAAATTGTAGGTTCGTGATACCACTGAAGTCTATCCTCTTGGTATCTGTCAAGCTACATGCCCCTCAAGGGCATCTTTGATTGTTAGGTAAGACACATATGCAACAGTTAGACAACTTTATTCCGAAACGTTTCGCCTACACAGTAGGCTTCTTCAGTCGAATACAGAAAGTAGGCAGGAACAGTAGAGATGTGAAGACGATGTAATCAGTCCATCACCCTTAAAGTCGTAGAATTTGAGGTTGTCAGTCCCTCGGCCTGGAGAAGTTCAGTTCCATAGTCAGGAACTATCTGAAGATCAAGCGACAGTGCGGAGACTTAAATACTGTCGGAAGGAGAGGTGCAGGGTTTAGTAGTAGAAGTATTTAGTAGTAGTAGTAGTAGGTGAGAGGCAACTGAGAGGTCATGCCCCTCTCAGATAAAAACCCTTCTCACTGAAAAGCTTGTCCAAGGTTTTTTCTGTACCAAGATGCCACGTTTTTGCAGTGTCTGAAAGATGAACATCAAATGGTATACAATACCGACAGGTTGTTAGGTAAGACATATCAACAGTTAGAAATTTCTTCCGAAACGTTTCGTCCTACCACGGTAGGCTTCTTCAGTCGATACAGAAAGTGCAGAACAGTAGAGATGTGAAGGACGATGTAATCATCATCACCCTTAGAGTCGTTAATTTGGTTGTCATCCCAGGCCTGGAGAGTTCAGTTCCATATCAGAACTATCTGAAATCAAGCGACAGTGCGAGACTCTATATACTGTCGGAGGAGTGAGGTATAGTAGTAGTATAGAGTAGTATAGGTAGTAGTGTGAGAGGAACTGAGGTCTTCCCTCTCGATACAACCCTCTCACTTGAAAAGCTTGTCCAAGTGTTTTCTTACCAAGATGCCACGTGTTGCAGTGTCTGACAAGGGTTGTACTGAGAGGACATGACCTCTCAGTTGCTCTCACTTAAACACTATACTACTACTACTACTTAAATATCTCACTGCACCTCTCCTTCCGACAGTATTTAAGTCTACCGCACTGTCTTGATCTTCGATAGTTCCTGATATGGACTGAACTTTCAGGCCGAGACTGACAACCTCAATTCTAGACTTAAGGTGATGGACTGTTACAGTCTTCACATCTCTACGTTTTCCACTTTCTGATCGACTGAAGAAGCTACTGTGTAGGGAAACGTTTCGGAATAAATGTCTAAGTTGCATATGTCTTACCTAACAACCTGTCGGTATTGTATACCATTTTGATGTTCCTCTTGTCAACACTGCAACCGTGGCATCTTGGTATCAGAAAACACCTTGGACAAGCTTTTCAATTGATGAAGGGTTGTATTCGAGAGGGACATGACCTATCGTTGCCTCTCATACTACTTACTACTTATACTACTACTACTAACTATACCCTGCACCTTCTTCCGACAGTATTTAAGTTCCGCATGTCGCTTGATCTTCAGATAGTTCCTGATTGAACTGAACTTTCCAGGCGAGGACTGACGGAATTTACAAATTTACGATTTAAGGTGGATGGACGATTACATGTTTCACATCTCTACTGTTCTGCCAACATTCTGTATTGACTGAAGAAGCCTACTGGTGGCGAAACGTTCGAAAAATTGTCTAATCTCGTGCAATATGGTCTTACCTAACACCTGTCGGTATCTGTATACCATTTCTGACGGCATCTTTGATTCAAGAAATTAGTAACCAAACCCTCCCCCCCTTTCCTTATATCTAATATGATTACCTCTCATTCCCCCAGGCACTGTATGACCCATTATGGGTTATCGCTCCCCATTAATGTAAAAAATAAATAATTGATAATTATTAATAATTGTCTCGCTCTGGCCTTCAAACCTCCCAAGAGCCAGAAAGTTAATTTTTCTTAGCTATGTCACCCATACCATTATTATGTCACTCACATTACCAGTATCTGTACGTCACCCACCACCAGTATCTGTACGTCACCCACCACCAGTGTCTGTACGTCACTCACCACCAGTATCTGTACGTCACCCACCACCAGTGTCTGTACGTCACCCACCACCAGTATCTGTACGTCACCCACCACCAGTATCTGTACGTCACTCACCACCAGTATCTGTACGTCACCCACCACCAGTATCTGTACGTCACTACCAGTATCTGTACGTCACTACCAGTATCTGTACGTCACTCGCCACCAGTATCTGTACGTCACCCACCACAAGTATCTGTACGTCACTCACCATCAGTATCTGTACGTCACCCACTACCAGTATTTGTACGTCACCCACCACCAGTATCTGTACGTCACCCACCACCAGTATCTGTACGTCACCACCAGTATCTGTACGTCATTCACCACCAGTATCTGTACGTCACCCACCACCAGTATCTGTACGTCACCCACTACCAGTATCTGTACGTCACTACCAGCATCTGTACGTCACCCACCACCAGTATCTGTACGTCACTCACCACCAGTATCTGTACGTCACCCACTACCAGTATCAGCAGACTTTCTTAGGTGTACTTCACCTCCTAGGCTTGACGAACACTACTGCAAATTTCGACCCTCTTAAAGCCTACCAGGTACCGCAACCTACTTCTAGGAAGAATATACCTGGTCTTCCCACAGTTCTTTGAGGGTTTCTTGGACTTTGTACCAGTTCAGAAGTTCTCTCCATGGAGGACGGTAGATGTCGAACCCCTCAGTGTTAGGAGTGGCCGGGGGAGGGTGAAGGTACTTGTCCCTCAACACTGGTATCAGAGCAGGATTCCCCAAGCTGTTCTTGCCAGCGAAGTACGTCTCCACACATTCTAATGTAAAAGCCACATACATTCTTATTTAAAATTAAGTAAATAGTATTCTTACTTTTTTCTGAGTTGTGGACTAGCCATGTCGAGGGGTTAAATAACTTTTAAACTGATTTTGTAGTCGGTGAGGGTACCACAACGTTGGCTTGACCCATTGCTCGAACATAGTTAATTTTTTTCAGGATTCATTAAATAGGAAATTGAGAAAAAAATTGAACTTTAATTGACCTAAGTGTCAGTCAACTATGGAGGGAATGGGAGTCAGCAGTATGAGTTATCATTAGGTTAAGAAATTTAAGCACCTTAACCACTGAAGTGTAGTTGAATACTAACCTAGTGTACATGAGGGTGTGAACCAGGTCAGGGGTGTAGGCAGGTGACTAGTGATGTAGTAAGCCATTGTCCCAAGCGCCACGAGCACCACCACACTGCTGACATGTAGCCCTTCACACCGCATGTGTTGTGCTCTTCTCCCACCCCAGCACTCCATAACACCTCTTAAATATCCAGCACCTGTAATGTAAGGACAAATTAGCTCTACTTTTAATTATATTTAAGGGAAGCGCTAAATCTATGGGGGTCACACAAACTTGTGGAATGGGAGGTAATCACATTCCAGCCAAGGAAACTACTTTTAAGAACTTGAACTAAAACGCATTGCCACAGATGAACACTATAATGAATTCCAGTTCAGTGGGTTATTGAAAGAAGTAAACTTATTAATGTAGCAGCGCTGCATGACCCAAGTGGGTTTAGCACTTGGTTTTGATTATATCATGATGTTAGGAGCCATTACCATATTATCTCAAGCTGCTGCTACCATTATATATAAAACAGAGGAAGTACATTTTTTAGGCTGGCTATGATTGCATGAAGATCTAATTTTCTTAGCAGAGGTCGCTGTATAGCCCTTGCGGCTTAGCGCTTCTTTTAGATTATAATAATATAATTAGCAGAGGTCACTTGTTTCTGACTGAAAAGCAGGGGTGGCCACGAGTACACTTGAGAAACAACACAGTAAGTGTCCGGGGCCCAAGACTGTTCAATTGCCTCCCAGCATGCATAAGGGGGATTACCAATAGACCCCTGGCTGTCTTCAAGCAGGCACTGGACAAGCACCTAAAGTCGGTACCTGACCAGCCGGGCTGTGGCTCGTACGTTTGATTGCGTGCAGTCAGCAGTAACAGCCTGGTTGATCAGGCTCTGATCCACCATGAGACCTGGTCACAGACCGGGCCGCGGGGGGCGTTGACCCCCGGAACTCTCTCCAGGTAAACTCCAGGTAAACAGTACTTGCACGTATCACAGTACAGTACTTGCACATATCACAGTATAGTACTTCCACATATCACAATACAGTACTCGCATATATCACAGCACAGTTCTCGCACATCAACATGCACATAGTAGAGACACCTGTGGTGTTAACTGGTTACTAGAGAGTGACTGGCGACAGCAGCAGCAGCAGCCTCGCTGGTGATAATACAGCCTCTCTCTCAGCGCTGCCACCGTGGCAGTCAACTCTCATTGTCTCGGCTCTTGAGATTTACCCGGTAATCCATTTTTCTTTCCGAGATTTAGGACAGTGTTTTAATGACTCCCTTGATGCCGGTTAGGGGCTCGTGTCTGGATGCCGGTTAGGGGCTCTTGATCCAATGAACTAGATTTATCCTCACTTTCCTTGGATCAAAGTTGATTGCCTTTCATTCCCCAGGCGCTGTTTCCTAGGGGTTTAGCGCTTCCTCTGTTTAAATGAAAACAATGATATATTATTCAAGGGATAACTGTTCGTTTTTATGGCAAATTTGGCAAATTGATTTTGGAAGCTTTTTCCTCCCAACTTCCACGAGGAAAACTTATCAGAATATATTTCCTGGAATGCCTCTTTCTCCTCGCTCGTACTGAACATCTGACATAACATGGAAAGAAGGAACACCTCAGCAGGCCTACTGGCCCATGCGAGGCAGGTCCGAGTCTCTTACCGGCTTAAGGTAATGCGCTAACCTAGTCAGGTCAGGTCATATTCACTTAAAAAAGGAGCACGGCATCTGACCCAGTAGCACAAGCTAGTCAGGTCCAAGTCACACCCACCCACACCCACTCGTATATTTATCTAACCTATTTTTAAAACTACACAACGTTTTAGCCTCTATAACTGTACTTGGGAATTTGTTCCACTCATCCACAACTCTATTACCAAACCAGTGCTTTCCTATATCCTTCCTGAACCTGAATTTTTCCTGTCTTGACTAGATATTTTTAGTACTGTTTACATCCCCTTTATTCCTGTTTTCCATTTATACACCGTAGTCATATCCCCCTTAATTCTACGCCTTTCTAGATTATTATTATTATAATCAAGATGGAAGCGCTAAACCCGGAGGATTATACAGCGCCTGGGGGGGGTGGAAGGCATTCAGGCTTAATTCGGGGAACTGGAGCACAGATCCAATTCCCTAAATCAAGAGCCCCTCACCAACATCAAGGAACCTTCCTTGAGGGGCGCCTTTCTAGAGTGCAGATTCAGGGCCCTTAGCCTATCCTCATAAGGAAGATTTCTAATACATGGGATCAACTTTGTCATCCTCCTTTGTACGTTTTCAAGATCATTTATATCCATTCAGTAATACGGTGACCAAAACTGTGCAGCATAATCTGGGTGAGGCCTAACCAAGGATATATAGTTGAAAAAACAACCTGAGGACTTCTATTATTTATGCTTCATGATATGAGGCCAAGGATTCTGTTCGCTTTATTGCGAACACTAATGCACTGTTGTCTTGGTTTTAAATTACTGCTAACCAGAACTCCCAGATCCTTTTCGCAATCGGTAATATTAAGGTCTACATTATTTAGTTTATATGTGGCATGGTTATTTTCCTGTCCAATGTTTAGAACTTTGTATTTGTCTGTATTATACTATATTAAACCAGCAGCTTATATTCAGCTTGCTACACAAACATCGACTAACACCTGGTATCCTTTTGTGTGTGTGTACTCACCTAGTTGTGGTTGCAGGGGTCGAGTCTCGGCTCCTGGCCCCGCTCAGTGAGCTTTATCATACCTCTCCTTAAGGCTATGTATAGATCCTGCCTCCACTGCATCACTTCCCAGACTATTCAACTTCTTGATAACTCTGGCTGAAGAAATACTTCCTGACATCCCTGTGGTTCATCTGAGTCTTCAACTTCCAACTGTGACCCCTTGTTGCTGTGTCCCATCTCTGGAACATCCTGTCTCTCTCCACCTTGTCTATTTCTCTCAGTATTTTATATGTTGTTATCTTATACCCCCTCTCTCTCCTGTCTTCCAGTGTCGTCAGGTTGATTTCCCCCTCTCGTAGGACATACCCCTTAGCTCCGGGACTAGTCTTGGTGCAAACCTTTGCACTTTCTCTAGTTTCCTTACATGCTTGGCTAGCTGAGGGTTCCAAACTGGTGCTTCATACTCCAGTATAGGCCTAATGTACACAGTGTATAGGGTCCTGAATGACTCCTTATTAAGATGTCAGAATGCTGTTCTCAGGTTTGCCAGGCGCCCGTATACTGCCGCAGTTATTTGGTTGATGTGCGCCTCAGGAGATGTGCCTGGTGTTAAACTCACCCCAAGATCCTTTTCCTTGAATGAGGTTTGTAGTCTCTGGCCCCCTAGACTGTACTCCGTCTGTGGTCGTCTTTGCCCTTCCCCAATCTTCATGACTTTGCACTTGGCAGGGCTGAACTCCAAGAACCAGTAGCGGGACCAGACCTGCAGCCTCTCCAGATCCCTTTGTAGTTCTGCCTGGTCCTCGTTCGATTGAATTCTCAGGGACACTTCGGAGTTTATTCCTTCCGTCGTGTGTGTGTGTGTGTGTGTGTGTGTGTGTGTGTGTGTGTGTGTGTGTGTCGTGCGTGCGCGCAGTGAGAAACTCAACGAGTTTAGAGGAAACTTGTCCATTGAGTCTGACAATTACGTGGATGATGACGTGGTACAGCCCAGTCCCGGAGTTTATCCCTGCTAACATCTGGGTACTGACAAGTTGCAACTGTTGGTGTGTGTAACACTTGCACGAGGAAGGGAATTGCAGGAAAACTAACCAAAATTGAAGTGTGCGCGACTTAGAGGCTAGTGTGACAGCGTCTTCACAATGGTGAGATAAACAGTGTTGTTCTAGCATTGTAAATTCGCATATTTCCCCATTTTTTATACTTTTATACAAAATTCAGTCAAGTGAATCTCTTAAAGTTTTGGATTTTTTTAATATCTCTGTATAAATGAAAACAAAGTAAACTGTTCAAAATATGTACGCGTATTCCTACATAGTTGTGCTTACGTGGTTGACAGCTCCCGGGCCTTGCCTTATAAATATCTTAGTGTAATTCATTACCACTGAGGTGTCTTCTACTCTTCCAAAAGCTGGGTCACCTTAATTAGGTATTGAAGTTTGAGTGGTTCATGTCTAGAGGTAGTAACCTCTTGGTGTGTCACTCTCCTCTCAGTGTGTCAGCCAGACTAAAAATATAAGAATATATAATGATCGGTAATAATACTGGAAATAGATAAACGGATATATATGCAACATGAGACATTAAGGCAGTGCTTTGCCTACCTAGGTCTGTCAAGCCATTATAGCATTATCCTCACTCTTGCCTTAGTTTCAACACTCGCGTAATACTAATTATTATTATTAAAGATTAGCCGGTATTCTCCCGGCCCGGGCCTTTTCCAAGTGGTGGCCCGGCCTTGGCTCCCTCTTTAAGGAGTGTCTGAGACCTAAAATAAATACCTCCCCCATCCTTGAAGGGAAGTGTAGGTACATCATGTGGGGTGTGCAGCACGTACAGCTGTTGTTGTTGTTGACAGGTAATGTACCAGAGCAGTGTGGTGTTGAACCTGCTGGTGGTGGTGTTTGCAGCAGTGTTCCTCTCCCGCTACCTCCTCAACACCTACTCCTCGCTCTTTCCCTGGCTGCCCAGCTCCTGCCACAACCGTCAGTACCTCTTAACTACACCATTAGTTATGTAGCAATTTAAATTTTTCGTCGTGTGCAACAATCGCAATTATGCAATTCACCTTAAAGGAAAAAATCCAGGGGCTTTCGTTATTTACATCTCAGGGGAGTGCTGTTATACAGAACAATGCTAAGATTCACTGATGTTATGAACGTCAGAGCTTGGGAAATTAAACGTGTTTAACTTTCGTGAATTTATAATCTTTAATGACGTACTGCCGTTACAGGTGTCTCTGAAATTGATAACTGTTCTCCAAACAGTTTAGTGGCACATATTGAATCTAAGGACTATGGCCCCCAACATTGTTGATAGCTAAGCAAGTTAGTGGTAATGAACTACTTAAAATTTTTCACTTAAATAGTACTGAGTTGTTTATTAAGTCGTGAATTCTCCCAACAGAATGCTTGGATACATACTTCGCTGGTCCACCCAACTTTACAGACCCGGCACTATTGTCGATGGTGAGGGAAAAGTACCTAACTCCACCACCTGCTAATCCAGACACCACACCCATCGACATTAACGAGCCAGTGTGGAGCAGACTGGTAGACTGGAATGTGGTGCAGGAGCAACTGAAGGAGATCTGGCAGGGGCAGGTACGTAGAACACTGCTCCACTCATGGGGCCACCGCCTCAGTGGTCATATTAAGTTTTTCCTTGTGTTATATTGTTTTTTTTTTTCATTGCAATTTGAAGGGTCCACTCCTTCAAATTGCCGTCCAGTGGGCCTGACATCTATGGTTGGCAAGTTACTGGAATCAATTGTAGCTGACATTATTAGGAGTCACCTTGAAGAGCATAACTTTATAAATGAATCTCAGCGTGGGTTTACGAGAGGTCGTTCCTGCCTGACAAACTTATTGATGTTCTTCAATAGAACGTTTGAGGCGATGGACAGTTATAAGGAGTATGGTGTTTATTGGGATTTTTGTGGGGCCTTCGATGGAGTGCCTCACGGGAGACTCTTGAGAGGGGTGGCAGCTCATGGTATAGGAGGTAAAGTTCTAGCATGGATGGAGCGGTGGCTTACCAATAGAAAGCGGGGAGTTTCCATTAATGGGTTCAAATCAGAATGGGGCTTGGTTACTAGTGGCGTTCCGCAGGGATCAGTTTTGGGCCCTCTCTTGTTCGTAGTTTACGTTAGTGACCTTGATGAAGGGATTACGAGTGGCATGAGCGGGTTTGCTGATGATGCAGGGATAGGCCGTATGATTCATTCTGAGGAGGATAGCAATGAACTGCAAGAGGATTTAGACAAATTAATGTCTTGGTCTGAAAAATGCAGATGAAGTTCAATGTGGATAAGTGTAAGGTACTGGTCCTTGGTAATGAAAATAACCCTCGAAGCTATAAACTAGGTGAAGTAGAGCTTTATCATACAGAGTGTGAAAAGGACTTGGGAGTCATGGTAAGCATGAAACCCTAAAGCCAAGGCAGCAACCTAAGTGTGCGGCAACAAGGGCACACATATTACTTGGATTTACTCAAGAATGTATAGGAGTAAACAGAAGTCCCACAAAAATTAATTTTACAGCTCTATACAACATTGGTAGGCTCATATTAGATTATAGCGCTCATTTTGGTCTCCTTACTACAGGTGGATATAGACCAATAAGAAACAATGACAGATAAGAATGACTAAAATGATTTACTGTTTAGAGAAACTCCGTATGAAGATAGACTTAATGCCTTAATTCTTCACCTCTCTGGAGAGACGTAGAAGAAGAAGATATCACTGAGGTGTTATAAAGTGGATGACGGGCATAAAACAAAGGAGATATTAATAAGGTATTGAAGGGTGTCGGAACCAGGTAAAGAACCCGAAATGATTGCGGAGTATAAGTTCGGATAAATTTAGATTTAGAAAGGACATAGGTAAGCTTAGGTTTTCTAACAGAGTTGTGGATGCGTGAAGCAATCTTCCCAGTGGGTGATAGAGGCTAGACCTAGTGGTAGCTTTAAGAAGAGATTGACAAATATAAGAGTGGGAGGGGGCTGGGGTTTATTAGTGTCAAATGGTTACGGAGTATAATTCTTGGGGTAGCTTATGGGTAACATTATGTTCCTGCCTTTCGCTTTCTGGCTGAGTGGACCACTGCCAAAACTGCTCAGCTTTCGATCTGTGCGCAACTCTCCTGTTTTCCACCAAGATTGGGCTGCCACTACAGCGGGAGGAGCAACACCGAGTGTGTTGACCTTTGTATAAAATGCGCAAATACGCCTATTAATCCTCTGTGTTTATTACCAACGATTAAACGGGACACGTTGGCACTTGCGAAGTAGAAGAATTGTGCAGGAATAGCACTTAATGTTCATCACGAAACTTCATTAAAATCCTGCACAGTGGAGACATATGAAATGGACGGATGGACCTCAGTACCTAAAACATCACCGTATCAACTGGTCTGGAGGTACGCCTCGAGGATGCCTCAAATACTCACCTGGGTGAGGAATCCAGCAACGTTCCTTTCGAGGCAGAGATCGATGTGATATCAGAGAGACATTTCAAAAGATATGGTGAGGTGCAAGGATAAAACTTCAGGGTCGATGAGGAGGGAAATCTTTGAAAAGGGTTTCGCCGGCTGGATCTTACAACAACCGGCAAGAGATGTCTTTAAGAAGACCTATTCCATCGTAATGTTCTCCATGAGGATTTTAGGACACAAGTCTGTAAGTGAACCTACGCGGACAACGCAAGGACGGTTTCGCCTGTGTGCGCGCTTTTGACCACCCCAAAATTGCGGCTGGATTGGTAAAGCGGCAGCGCCGCGGCCTTGGAATGGCAAGTAGTCAAGAGTCTCAGGCGGGTACCTCTGGGCCGAAGACTTTGAGTGTCAGCAGGCAAAGTAATTGGGGCGGGACGACGTGGAGGGCGAGTAGAGAATTGAGTGACACAAACCAGTGGCTTCGGATGCTCCCCCGCAAACGGGCGCCTTGATGAGCACAGCCTTGTGAGGGTGGTGGAGAGACCGTGATACACCAGGAGCTATCAACGCCCCTACAGATATGATTAAGTCTTTTCCTGGACTGCCATCGGCGGAGAAGCCCTCTACAGACAGGAGAATTCTTCTGAATTGTTGATCAGGACTTGATTGAGCAGCTCAGAGCCTCTGGGTCAGAGCCAGGCATGTTGCAGTTGCACAGGTGAAATGAGGTGCACAAGGGGAATGGAAATACAGATCTGAAAATTGAGGGCACATCTATAAAGAGGGCTGGAGGCCTCTTCGGAATGAGGAGAGGGTAGGAAAAACACCAGCTCAGCGTACAGGAATAAGACGGTGGGCGAGTGAAATTAAAAGGGGCAGAGGTAATGCACATGGGGGGAGGGTACAGCGGGACAGAGTGCACGGAAAAGAAAAGAAGTATTCAAAAGTGGTACAGACACGGACACAGAGATCATAGAGGAAAGCTCACCCTTTCTGAATCTTTAAGTGTCTAACGATAATCGTGAATGGAGCCCTTAAGAGCTGACGTAAACGAGTATGGGTTGGAGGATGTTAAGCGTCACGTTATTAACATTGTTGATGTGGTTTTATTCAAGAACACAATTTCAGTAATGCAGAGAGTTGAGGCTGAACGGTTTTAGATGTATGTTGGTAGTTCAGGGAAATTAAAGGTGGGTGGCTCCAGTGGCAGTGAGGGAGTCCAGCCCATTCCACGTGCTCAAGTGGGAAGAGGGAGGGGAGGGGAGGGTGGTGAGGGTGGAGGGGATATGGGGTGAGATTAGAGTATGTTTTCTGGGGATATATATGCCGGCAGATAGTAACATACGGGTAAAGATGAATTTTGTAAGGGAGGTTTTGCTTTTCTACATGCGGGGTTTACCAATGGTTTCTATAATAGGTGGGGATTGGAATTGTGTAATCAGGAATAAGGATGTGGAGCCGAGAGGGGCAGGGTGTGTGCTTGGAGTATTGAGGGATTTGTTGAGGGATGCAGGGGTTTATGACATTGTCAGGGGCGATGGGTGGAAAGTAGAGCACACGTTTATGCAGAGGGGTTATGCGGCCAGGTTGGATCGTATATATATAACTCGAGATATAACAGTAGAACGTGTAATGACGATAGATTTAGGTTTTTTGGACCATCGTGCCGTTTTGGCAGAGATGGCATGGAAAGGGATGGTTCGTAGGTATGTGGGTTATTGGAAAATGAATGTGAGGCTACTTCAGGGAGAGGGGGAGGGGTTGTTTTTTAGGGAATGGTGAAGCAACTATGGGAGGCTCGCAACGAAGAGGGGATTTCTTGGAATGGTGGGAGAAGCACGCTAAATTGCAGATTAGGGAGTATTACCAGCATAGAGGAAGGGATGAGGCGAGGTGGAGGTACGGTTTACAGAAATATTTAGAGGGGCAGCTAAATGATTGTTATGAAGGGGGAGGGGGAGCTAGACATGGAGAAATAGAGGTTTTAAGAGAAGATTGAGGGATATACAAAATTCTCGTTTGATGCGATACGTGTGAGGGAAGGTTTAGAGGAGGTTCTATGGGTGACAAAACCGTCAGGATGTGTTTTGAGGAGATTTAGGAATAGGCAACAGATGACCACGATTATGGGATTAGAGGTGTGTAAAGGGGTGTGGGGGGATATAGGGTGGGGCAGGTACTTAGTACCACCGATGGAATGAGCAATTATGCTGATTATTGGTTTAGGGGATAATTTTAAGCAGAGGGAGGGGGAGAGAGGGAGGAGAGATTCTGGGAGAAGGAATTCGAGGTATTTTAGGGAGGAGGGAGAGTGCGGTAATAGAGGGTAGGATCAGTTGAGGAGGAGGTGGAGGAGGCGATAATGGGCTTGATGGGGGAAAAAAGCCCCCCGGGCATTGAGGGAAATTTCCCCTAATGATTTTATTTACACATTGGGATTGTAGAAGGAATGTTTGGTCGGTTTTTAACTTTTAAGAAAGGGGGGAGTGTTGGGGGAATGCAGGGCACGGGGGTAGAGTTTTGGTCTATAAGGGGGGGGGGGGGGGAAAGATTGGGTGTTTTGGGCATTCCCCATTGGCGATTATAAATTTTTGCGAATTTTTTAGGTAACCGTAAAAAAGGTGCTTGACCGAGCCTACATAAGGACATGTGGGATTTCAGGTCGAAGTATGGTGAGGGGCATGGAAGAATTAAAGGATTTTGTGGAGGGAAACAAGGGGGGGGGGATCTTGGGGATTGAGGGAAAAGCAGGCTTATGACAGTGTAGAAGACATTGTTTGGTGTATTTTAAAAAACGGGGGTTTTTTGGTGTGAGATTGTGCGTGGGCGACTACTTTTGTATCACCTGCAACGGTCAGGGTACAGGTTAAGGGGGAAGTTAGGGTTGCCGGTGCAGTTTGGGGAGGGTTTGGGGACGGGGGTTCCCCCTTGTCTAAAATCCCTTTGAAAGCATGCAGGCCCCTTTTTTATAGGCTTTATAGGGGAAAGGAGTGTGGAAAGGGAGAGGGGGGTCCGGGAGTTTTGGGTAATTGGGGGGTATGGGGATGACCCCACAGTTTTGGGAGGAGGGGGGAAAAAGGATTGGGGAATGTGGGGCTATAATAGAGATTTTTGGTGGGGCGACAGGGTGAGGGTTAATGGAGCAAATCAAAATTATTAGAAGTAGGGACGTGGGGGGGGGGGGGGGAACAGTAGGGTGGAACGTAGTGGGTAATTTTTAAAATGTGGGGTTGTGTATATGGCGGACACTGGGGGGGCACAGAGAATAAATTCCAAGGAAGTAGTGAGTAAGCGATGGGTAGGATGCGCGGGGGGGGGCTGGGGATTAACATTCAGAAGGGGGTGGTAGTAAGTACACTTTGTGTAAAAAAGTGTGGGGCGTGGCAGAAAAAATTTTCCCCTGGGGCGGTGATATTAGGAACTGGAGAGGGTGGTTTTGAGGTAGTGTGGGGGTTTTTGGAAGCCATGGTACGGAAGGGGGTGGTGATGAAGGGGGTGCGGCGGGGGTGGGGGGGCCCTTATACCTTTGGACACACGAGTGAACGTGTATGTGAAGCAGCGATACTTGAGGGTGGGAGGGGAAGGGCAGAAGGGTGGAGAGGTCATGAAGGATGTGCAAAAAATGGGGAAGGGAAAGGCACTCTGGAGTGTGAAGATATGGTGAAAATTTTTGTTGGCAGTAAGGGAAGCAAAAAAAGTAAGGGTAAGTAGGCTTGGGAGGACAGGTTGGCGGGGTACAGTGATAAGGGAGTACTACATACCCAATGTATATTGGAGGGCTTTTGGGGGAAAATTTCGGAAGATGATAAAGCCAAGGGTTCGTAAATTGGGTTTATGATTCTTTATGGGAATTCTAGTACAAGGTCAGGCTATATAGAAGGGGTTTTTAGGTGCTGGGACTTGTTTTCATTGTGAGGAAGAGGGACGGCTTTTCATGCCTATATTTTTTTGAAAACTTGGGTTTTGTAAGGGGATGGGTTTCGAGAGTTTGGGTATAGTGGCGGGAGGGGGAGAAAAAATTTCGACTTTGAGGCTTCGCATTTTGATGTGGGAGGGGGTTTTCCCAAGGGGCATTCGGGGGCAGGATATGTTGTAGTGGAGATTTTTTGTTTGTGTCTTGGTGCAGCGGGAGGGGGGGGGAAAAATAGGGTGCGGGCGCAGCGGCGGGTTTGTTCGAAAAGTATCAGAAAAAGGGTAATATGGGAG